GACTGAATCACAAGCCATTAACCCCACTGTTAACCTATCAATATGTGAATCACACATATGCTCGCTTGCAAAAAAACAGCAAGCAAGATTTTTAAGAAATGTAAATCACACATATGCTCGCTTGCACTTGCACATAAAGCTTAGGAAAGAAGAGAAGTAGTAGGAGGGAGGAATGGCCACCAGAATAGCTGCGATGAAAAATTATATTCCCAATACCTGATGATACATAAAGTCTCAGTGAAAAAAATAAAAGCATCTCATCATAATTTCTTCTTTTGAGAATGGAACCAGGCAAAATTCACCTTCCTTTCCTTTTCTGCATGACTACACCCCTCTGCCATACAAAAATAAATCCAGTTCATCCTACTGGCACAAGGAGTTTCAGTTTAAACAAAGGCATGGTTCCAGTCAAATAAGTTACAAAGATTTGTTTCTGGTGAAGCAAACAAGGTTAGTTAACTTAATTCACAACTTCGCACGTAGAATGAGTTTCAAAGCCAAACCAAGACCAAGCAACGTTCTACTTTGATTTCTAAGTTGAATGCAATCTGTCTCTTTCCTCAAAGGACCGAATCACATAGAAGGTTTCAGAAGAGAAAAATATAAATAAAAGAAACTAACACCACTTCAAAACATAGTCGTTGTCGAGACTAACAACATAACTATAAAAGCCCTATCAAACAAGTTAAAACGTTAACAGCCTCCAAAATCCAACAGTAGCTTCAATACCATGCCAAACAAACAAAATCCATGTCAAGGAACCCATACGCACCAGTTGCTGTAGTTCCTAGAACTTGATGTCAAATATGCAGCCTTTTTGACTTGTTAGGTAAATAACGCCTCTGTGTATCAATCCGAGCCGCAATAAATCCGACCAATACTTATTAGATACCAAAGCCGAGCCGCAAAAGATAAAGCCAATTCGAGTTCAAAGCTGAACTGCCCTAGAAAAAAAACTCTCGTCTTGCTCTTTTTTCCACTTTTGCAAGAATACCATACTAAACTACGTGGGAACAATAATAGCACAAACATTGTCCTTGATTTCCCCCACACCTAATTTATCATACATTAATCCCCTCTTCTATATGCGCAATAGCACAAAGTTTCAACACACTCAAACACAACATACAGCCATACACAAACACTTGGCTACTCTTTGCTCACAGCCAGCCTTAACATTAATAAATATGTAAGAGACTCAGAGAAGAGAGAAGAATAGAATGAATAGCGCAGGAGTTGCTGGGATGATGTTTCAGAAGCCTGTCAATGCGGGACTCCGAAATTGAGCGAAGGCCTTACCATAAGAACTGCAGTTGCGCTCTCCACAGGTTCGAGGGGGATGTTTGCTCCAATGCTTGTCAAAGGAACATTTCCTTTCCCAAGAAACAGTCATGGAGTGACAGTTCCTTGTGCATGCAGGCAGCGGCTTCTTCCAGATTCTCTTCTCCTCTCGTAGACGACATGTCCACATCCACAGGAAACTGAGGAAGTGTGAATGGGGTTCATAATTCTGCCTTGCCACATGGACAATAGACAGAGGTTTTCAGAGGCTAGATCAATTATACGGTGATTGCCGGTGAGTTAGAAGAAATTGAAAGGTTTAGCTAGGAAGTGAGAAGCAATTTTAATTGTGAAGTTTCTCATGATCTTATTCTTGCTCCAGCACTAGTACTCAAACATCAAATTGATTTTAAGGAAATATTGGTGCTTTGTGGGGTTAGTTTCTTGATTTCTTCTACCTTCATCCAAGTGTAAATTCAACTGAGTACATATTCCTCTTGTAATTAAACATTATTTTCACCTTTCTTCAATACAACTGAAAATACCAGTTATATGCTGGACTTTTAGACCCCCTTGTTACCCCAAAAAAAAAACCAGTTAAAATAGCAGCACATGAGTGAAACACAGCTTTTCACTAACCCTATCTTCACCTTTTTTTGGACGAACCCTACCCTCAATTATCTCTCATCTCTCCGCCTCCATCACCTCCCATCTCTAAATAAGGTGATCCCAGCAGCAGCTACGAAGAAAAGAAGAAAAATTCAAAGATAACCCTGACGAGTCGAGAAGAAGCCGTCGCCGCCACTGGTTGGGTCGAGAAGAGAAGAGAAGCAGCCACCCGACCGGACCAGGCCGCCTAGGCGGGCGCCCAAGCGCCGCCTAACTCCCTGGCGCCTACCCCTAACGTTTAGGTTGAACTCACAGCGGTGTTCTCCCGCCTACCGACTAGGAGCCCCTAGGAGCCGCCTAGGCGCTGCCTAGGTCGATTTTTCAGAGTTTCTTCCTCTTCTTCTTCTTCTTGTTCTTTTTGTGGTGGGGGGTGAAGAGATAAGAAAACATGTCAAAAGGCAAGAAAGATGAAGAAAAATTAATAAAATAAAAACAAAAAATTATTTTTAATTTTACTCAACAATCATTTGATATTAATTTGTCCTTACCAGCCCTTAAATGTCATATGAATCATCGGATTTTTGACTGGCATTGGCCTAATGCATGAAAGCACTTGTGATAATAAGAGTAGAACGGAATTGTTTCTGTTCTTATTATGGAGGAGACGTAAAGCCAAGGCAGAACTAAGCTGGTGGGTGTTGAGTTTTCTGCATATTTTTAACATAAAGCCAACTCACAACAACTAACAATTGCAAGAGTAAATCAGAACAATACAATTAGATCACTCTTAACAAGTCAACTAGTATCCACTGTCCACAGAGAGAGAGAGAGAGAGAGGATCACCTTCTCAGCCAAACTAGTAGCAAATTCTTCCCTCAAAGCATCTTCTCTCTTTTGTGTTTCCGTATTCAAACGTTCTTGGACAGCTGCAGCTTTTTCTAGAGCAGCTTTTGTTTCCACTCCTGAGCCTCCTCTTGGGCAGACTGAGCTTGCTTCAACAGAACTAGCTTCATCTTCATCAGCCTTGTGCTTTGATATGACCAGTTCGTATTTTCTTTTCTCTAAAATCGCTCTTGCTTTGCAGAATCCAATGTTTTAACTAAGCTAGAACATCTCTCATCCAATGTTTTAAAGAGAGTAACAGATTTGAGTTCATGACCAACAAGAGAGAGATCAAAGACAACAGTAAGTCACTGACCTGAATAACTCGCTTTAAATATGTTTGAATATTTTAACAGTATAGCCGCACGGCTAGACTCTTTAAAATAAAAAGTTTAGATTTTTTAAAAACGTATAGCCGTTCGGTCGTACTATTTAAAATGAAGAAAATTAAAAAATGGTATAGCCGCTCGGCTATACGCTTTAAAACTAAAAAATGTATAGCCGCTCGGCTATACTATTTAGAATTAAAAAGTTAAAAACAGTATAGCCGCGCGGCTATACGCTTTAAAAATTAAAAATAATAATAAGATAGGAATTGCCTAGCGTCTATACTCCTTAAATAAATTTTTAAATACATATCACATTCAAACACTTAAAATTCACTTTTTTTTTTATATATATCAAAACTTAAAATTCACTTTAAACTATCATTTAACTACACAAATATAAAGTACAACTCAACTACACAAATTCATCTCGATTTAATTTTAAAATAAAAATAATATTAGTTTCCTAAATCATAGCTTTGTGCAAACTATAGCTTTGGAAAATTTACTCATTTATAACTACATTTGGATAGGAGATTTCAACTCTAGAAAGTTTAGTTCGTATTTGAAATTAAAATACTTGAGTGCTTGTAGGCTGTAGATATTATTAACTAATTATCATAAAACTAGTGAAAATTTGATAAGAGCTTCAAAAACCAGACTTATCGAAGAAGTTAAACTGTTAATAGTAGAAAAGAAAGTTTTACAATCATCTTGCTGCATAAATTGAATCTTAGAATCTCTTTATACAAGTGTATCTGGATTAATCATCCTCTTTTATTCCGGTCTCGGATGAATTGTCCTCAATCATTCCTGCCTGGAACACAAACAAATTACTCAGCCATAATTCCAAATCATACAACAGAAAACTAGAAACTATGCATAAATGTGCCTTTGTCTTCTATTAACATGCTAGAGCAATTCAAGCGGTTATGGACTATAGATTCACAAACATGTCCAAGAATCTGAATTTTAGGCATTTCTTTGGAAACTACTTAAACAAGTTGAACAGATAAAACATGAGTAACCCAAATATTTCAACATACTGATCCCAACAATCGCTACACCATCAAAATGTTTTCCTTTCTATGATTTTTTATTTTTGAAAATATTTCTAAATACACATTCAAGTAGGTAGTAAACTACAATTACAAGGATCTCGAGTCTCAACCTCTCAACTTGAGCCTCAGAACCCGCATAGTTTTTGGTTTTTTGCTTCTCAATTGATACACTATTTGGTCCACTAATAAGATCTAAAGACAAAAGCACATATCAATTATGCAGTTATAAGGTATGTAACTGGGACTTTTTTATATTGGCTACCTTCTAAGCATCATCAACACCAATTGTTTAAGATACATACCCCCATAAAATGAAAATCCTACGATAGGGGTTTAATACAGAATTGAGCTATACAATTTATCATAGTTGAAGAAAACTTGAACGATAAAAAATTAATAGGCATCAATATAAAGACCGTATTCATAAATACAAGGAAGCACACAGGTGAAATGCAACGTAGTAAAGAATTACTTGTAGAGTTTTCCAAAAGTGTCCCTCAGGCGTGCAACATCAGCACCAATAATTTCAGCTACCACCTTCCCATCTTGAAAGAATTGGAATGTTGGCTGCAGCAAAATGCACACATGAGCAAAGTATCTAATTTTTAAAAGCTTCAGACCACGAACCAAATGGAACTTGTTTTAACACTATCCAAGATAAAACATAAAGAATGCTAAGAAGCCACAGTAGTTATTATAACCCATTCAAACAGCCCACGGGTGCCAATAAAAGAGGACCAACATTCTAAAAACCAAAGGTCCTACACATGAGCAGTTAGATCCGTAAAGCTAAATAGGGGACAATTACATTCAAACAAAAGAAAAGGAGCAAATCGTTTACCACAGAGGAAATATTCAGCTTGCCCAGAGTGTTTGCAAGGCCTTCCTATAGTTAGAATAAACAATGTCAGGTTTAACAATAAAAACAATTGACCAGATACTAGGTTTCATTATCTTGCACAATTGACATCAATTGAGTTCTTTTGACCTTAAGATGGGATTCAAACAGGCTACAAAAGAACTAAACTGGTTCCCAGCAAAATTATCTCAGTTTGCAGAAAACTAAATTCTAATGCGAACCTCATCAATGTCAATCTTATATGTTGTCACATGTGGGTATTGCTCACTCAACTCTCCAATGACTGGAGATATGAACCTGCCTGCACAAGAAGAGCAATACCAAAGTACCAAACATAAGTTAAAAATGCATTAACAAGGTACTGTTTGCTGTAAATGACTTCATTAACGAAAGTAAAAGTCTTCAGAAACTTACAAGGCCCGCACCAGACTGCAGTGAAGTAGAAGAGTGCTGGCAAAGCTTTATCTATCTCATTGAAATTCAATAAATAAGTAAAAATTGTATGAAAATGATGACTTCTCTTAAAACTAAGCAACTACAGAGAAAACCCAAGTAAATATACCTTGAACCATGTTAATTGCGCTATGATATTCATTCTCTGACCTAATGGGGACAATGTTTGAGGGGCCTGAAATTCAATAATCAACTCAAGTTAATGAGCTATTACAAAACCAAAAAAAAAATGAAAACTTTGTGAAAAGAAAACAATGGAAACACCAAAAACAAAAAACATAAACAAAAATAGGAGTGCCTGAGGGTGAGGAGAGGGGTCGGTGTTGCAGAAAATGAGGGTTCGAGAAGTGATGAACGGACTTGGAGAAAGGTTTGGAATTGGAAGGGGTTGTGTGTGATGAAGATGGTGTGGTTGAGATTGAAGCTAGGGTATGGAAAGAATTAGAAGGAAGCTTGTGATGATGATTGAGAAGAGCTGCGCAGAGCTTGTTGCGATTGCCAAGCAATTGTCGCGCCAGAACCCCAGAATTCCTCGCCATTTTTGTGTCTCGCTTCGTTTCTTTGCGTGGGGGTTTAAGACAGATAATCAAAACGGGTCTTCAAAGAACACAAAAGATCAATAAGAGGTAGATGGGCTATGAGCCATCACAATTGGAGGCCCACAGCTAACAATGATTATTGTTCTGCAGACGATTGGGCTGGGATCTCCAGACCCAGGCAGGCTTGCTTTTGGGTCCATGGTCCAGATATATTTTGAGTCAAAATCTAAATCTTGAAACCTAATCTAAGCTCGGGCAAATTTATTTTCTAAATAATCAGCCATGTCAATAAATGAGAACAAATTTAAATAAAATTTGAGCAAAAGTGAGATTTTCTCGACACTTCCGTCTTTTAAGAAATGCCGGACATCATGTAGGGAGATTTTCTCGACGCTACATCTTTTAAAACTCTCACACTTTTTGTGTAGGTGCAATAGTTTTTCCTTTTTGAAAAAAATAAAATTGTTGTAACCAAATTCAGCAACCACATTTGCATTCACAATGTGATATATTGCCTAGTGAAGAAGTTAAGAAGTAAGAGGACCACATGAAATTCCATGTTCGGTAAATCATAAATGAATTTTGGGTTAGTGTTGGGTCAATATCAATCCATCCATAACAAAAGAAGCATTATATAAACATATATAGTTATATTATCTTATAAAATTATTTAAAGATTGTGGCAAGTTCATAACTAATTTTGGTCATAGACGTTGCACCAACTTCTTGCTCTAGATCACCTGCCATTCACCAGGAACACCATACTTCAAATTCAAATTAAAACCCTTTTGATTAGGACATCTCGTGGAGGGAGGGAGATGGCATAGACTTAAAGCAATTGGGTTGGGTTGGGGTGGATGGATTTTGATGGATTTAGTAGTTTATAAAGACTAGGTAGGGTTTAGGAGATCACCTAATTATACTGGCTGAAATTACTATAATACCCTTGTCCATGGAGTACACGTGTTTGTTGGTATTCCAAACTTGCCACGTCGGATGGGCATGGGAGATTGAGGTGCCACCTCAGCCAGATTTGCCATTTGCTGACGTGGTTCGACAAGGATATGAGCTTTGGTGGAAGGATGAGGAGACCCATTGCATGAGCCATGAGCCATGACCCGTCTTATCCTACTGGTTAATTTCGTGCCTTAGTGGAATGTTGCTCACACTTTTGTTTCTCTTTTCTGGTAAGTGGAAGCATGTCATCTTTCCAACAAACTCTTGATCCCCACAAAATGGCCTTGAACAGCATGTCCTCTAAAATAAAACACTTTTACATTAGACGTGGGACGTAAATTAGGTCAATTAGCTAGATCAATATGTTCGGTCTCTTTAATTATAATTCGAATCTTTCTCCTCGTCAATCAGACGTTCATAATATTTCAATTGTCGAAAAACCTAAAAACAAATAACACATAATGAAACTTTTTTTAAGAAACTTTTTTTTTGGTTTCCCACAACAATATAAAGAAAATTTCTCATCAGCAATTATGGCTTCTTCTTTTTTTGGGTCTGACGTCAGCAATTAGGTGCGATGAGAAAGTCATCTTCGTAAGCACCACTAGCGTACCGTGGACATGAAGACTGGTCAAAGCATCCGACGGCTGCCGTATCCGGTGCAAGGTACGCAAAACAAACGCCACGCTCTTTCGTTATACCCAACACAGCCTCCCAAGAAATTCAGTCGTAGAATTGTAGTTCCAAAACTACCCTCCTACAAGTCCAACACTTCTTTTTCTTTTCCCTTTTGAAGTTGGGGGTCAGGCAAGCTTTACATTTGGACCAACCGGGCATTAAATTACACGTCTCTGACGACTTCACGTTTTTTTATGACAAAATCAATTTTCATTTCCACATTTCTCAATAATTCTCAGGAAAAAAAATCATATAAAAGAAGAAGAAGAATAATAATTGATCTAAAAAAGCAAAAACAAAATGAGATAAAAAAGCACATGGCACATGGCCAGGTGACCAAACTAATATTGTGGTACCCGATATTCTTTTTTAATACATGAGTTTGATTTTCTTTTCTTGGTGATTCTATTTTTTATTGTCAGGAAAGAATGGCGATAGTATATTATTGAAATAGGATGAGTAACTAGTACAAAAATCGGACTATATCGTCGGAGATTAGTGATTCTATTTAAACCTTGAGAGATCTGTCAATTCCTATTTTAGCCTCGTGTGGAAAGATATTCAAAGCCAAACTTGCCCAAAAACCTATTTGGTCCCCCATGACATTTTGATGTTGAAAGGAAGATATATGGCCAAATTAGAAATAGAAAGTTTGACAATGTGAGCTTTCAATTTAACATCTTATGTAAATATGCACATGTTAGAGGACAAAAACTATTTAACACGCATCTAATCTACCTTCAAATTGATAATGCGTACAAATTAGTTTAAACGCATTGTTTTATTGAAACAAATCAAATTTATAATAGTTTTATTATATTTATATAACATTTTTAGGAGTGCACGATAACTTTTGTAGAGTGCCAATAATAAGTCTCAAAGAAAATCATGTTAGACTGCCTAATCACCCGTGTTCATATGTGTTATAAAAAATCTAAAAAATATAGTTTTCCTTTTCCGTAAAGCCAAACACAAAAAAATATTATATTATAAATAACATATAAATAAATAGGAAAGCTTTTAAGGTATAACGAAATTGAAGAAAATAAAATAATAGGTAAGTAAAAGGAAAATAAATAATAAGTAAGAAGGTGAGTTTGGTACGGTGAAGCACGTCAAAGACGCTGTCCTAAAGCCTTTGTAGCCTCCCTACGTGCAGGTACTGACGGTCTACAAGACTCCAAGATACGACCCCTTGTACACAAACTCAAGATCCGCTATGAGCACGTTCATAGACGGATATGGGTATCCAAGTCACAGAACCATTGCCAAAATAATAATATAAAGTAGAGAATATATATAAAAGTAGAAAAGGAGAGAATCAGTTTATGGTGGTGATTGTGGTATGTGATATTCTGATGGTGTAATGTGTGTGTTTCAAATGTGAAGGAGGAGTGGCCTTTTATAGGCATCCAAAAACAAGTAACCTTCACCAATCATAAAAGTTCACCAACCAAAAATTAAGGCATTCACCAACCAGAAATAAAACATGAATATTAAATATTTATAACCCCACAATAAATAAAATAAAATAGCCAAAATAAATAAATAAATAAAACAGTTAAATTTTTAAAACCTTTTAAAATTCCAACAATTGAAACAAATCAAATTTATAATAGTTTTATTATATTTATATAACATTTTTAGGAGTGCACGATAACTTTTGTAGAGTGCCAATAATAAGTCTCAAAGAAAATCATGTTAGACTGCCTAAAAAATTCCAACAATATGAAGCGTAATTTTGTTACTAATGTAGCTTATTTGGGGCATACTTGTCATGATCCAATGTGTTTGGAATTATGACTTCCCATCTGCTTATGCTTATGCTTATGCTCTTGCTCTTGCGTTTAATAGTTTAGGCGTAGGGTGCACATGATGTATCTAAGTATTATGGGAAAGATAGATTGGATTGCAAAATAATATACAATTGTCGTGAAAGTAAGGAAAGTAAACATGTTTTTTTCTTGAGAAGTTTAATATTTTTATCCATAAGTTAAATCATTACTGTTCTTTTTGGCTGATAAAGGTTGAATAATTACTAATAAAAAGTTTGAGAAAGCATAATTCATTATCACTAAAAAGGATATTTCATTATTAGCAAACAAAAGATATATAATCCTTAGCTTAAGCCAAAAAACTAGAAGATATACAATCATGAAATTCCTTCAACTTATATAATGTTTGACTATCAATTTCAACCTTTAAGATATATATACAAGTAATATGAAAAGAAGGGGATCTAAACATAAGATCTCGGGTGCAAGAATAATTACTCTTAATCACTTAATTTACAAATCATTTACATTTAATATATTATCTTATCATATTAATAATTCATAATCTAATAACATAACAGTGGTCTAACAACAACACGAGTTTACATGTGTAATCAACATTTTGTAAGTTTTTCCATGTATTTTGTGAGTTTGCCTTTTCATTATTATGAGGTGTCATATAAATAATAAATAGAGTTATATCATTTAGCACCGAATTTAGGAGAGAATTTAGTTGCGATGGTCGTATAAATTGTCACGCGAAAAGAAAGATAGACAAGATAGTTCTATAAAACCAGATGGAAAACTTTTTCTATGGGCTTCCGACACGTTTTCTAGTTTTTAGATTGCTTCATTGGTCTCCACCATTGCAATTTACACACGGCAAATTGCCGCGAAGCCACTTCCTTCGTGCTCGTGCAGTACAAAACCACCAAGGAGAAGTACAGCTCCAGTAGGGCCAGTACCTAGCCCCATTAGTTATTACCAAAAATCTCCGTGGGCAAAATTGTAAAAACGCCACCCTTCTTTCCCACCAGCTCCCAAAACTCTAGTTAAAAAATTGCTGTCTCACCATCTCCCTCGGAAAAGTCTCCTCCTCCCTTCTCTCTCTACAAAAGCTCTCGTTTTCTCTCTCTCTAGACAGGAAAGCAATTCGCTCCCTTTTTGTATAAATTGCTCTGCTTTTTTATCGGCTCGGTACCTTCCAATGGCGCCGAGTCCCAGAGACCTCCAGCTGACACAAGTCTCCCCCGGAGCACGGAAGCTGCCGGAGATGGTTACCGGCGGTGACTCCGGCGATTTGGAGGACGTGAGGCTCTTGGATTCTTATGATAATTTAGAGGGAGTTGAACAGGGAATGCAGAAGGTTCAAGTCAGAGTCTCTGGCATGACCTGTGCCGCTTGCTCTAATTCTGTTGAAGGTGCTCTCAAAAGCGTCAATGGGGTTCTCACGGCCTCCGTGGCCTTGCTTCAGAACAGGGCCGATGTTGTTTTTGATCCGAGATTGGTCAAGGTTGGTCAATTTTAGCTTTTGGGGTTTTGGTTGAGTTTGTTTATGTGGTGGGGTTGTGGTTTTTGATGTTTATCCCTGAATTGGACAATAAGTTTGTGTTGGTTTTTGAAAATTTTGAGCTTTGTTAGTTGTTTCGGGTGTTTTGAAGTATGGTCCAGTCCAAGTTGCTTTTATTTTTAGTTGCTTTTATTTTTTGGGCAAACAAACTTAGGATTATTATGGCAAGCAATTTGGTTTCTGTTGTATTTGAGTGTTCATTTTAAGGTGGATTGGATCATGGGTCAGTTTTTGAGCTTTCATTAGTTTTGGTGTTTTAAAACTGCAAGTTACAAATAGTTGCTAAGTATTACTATGGTAATCCTAGGATCGTGTTTTGGTTGATCATGTTTGGTTTTAATTTATACTGTATATTGACTGCATTATGATAAGGATTAATCATTTGGTAATTCAGGTTTTGTGTGGTTTTATAAATTTGACAGTTGCTTGTAATCATGTCTAAATTCTGCATTACAGTTTTGCTTTATATACTTGGTGAGCTGCAATCATGATAGGAATTAGGCTAAAGTGACAGATTAGTCCTCCCCACCCTCTCTTTAATGATGGGGTAGTTGATTTGGATCTCTCTCTCTCTCTCTCTCTCTCTCTAATTTTCTTTTGGTTCGACTCAAAATGATACATCTGAGCATGTGCATTATGACCATAAATTGAGATAATCTAGTTGGTATTTTTTCTTCTTCTTAGGCTACTTGGATCTAACATATTCCCAATTTGGGAAGCAGCCATACACAACTGGTTCAGATAGCTTGAAGTAGGTGTGGGTAGTAATAGTTTTAGAAAATAAGAATAATGTAAGGGTGTTATTAATCCAGATATTGAAAGAAACCTGCATTTCAAACAGCTAGTATTGAAAGTAGTGAAGCTGCTGTATCATGCCATCAGTACTGTATAATGTGCAAACTTTCTCTTGGAAAATCTCCTTGATCTTATGTAACTTTTACTTAAATAATTCAGGTGCCTTTCATATTTCTACTTTTACTAATACATGCTTTGGCATGAATATTGGGTGTCTGGTGCACCAACGGACAGATTTTGGCTTTTCTGATTTGATGAAAACACTTCTCTGCTCTAAGAAGTTGGAAATTATCCTTTGCTTGACATTTTCCTGCATGGTATCTGTACTTGTTGTTTGAATTGGTTATTTTCGACCATGTTCTCTTCCATGAACTACACAGAAAAGGTCAAACTATAGTTCTAAGGTTTGTGTTGCTTTGCCTGGAAATTTCTTGAGTAAAGTTTTGTTCAACTTTCTTAATCCTTCACTTCCTTCTGTGTTCTTCAATTGATTGCTTGAGGGGATAACCTTGAATGTAGAGTGGTAACATTGAGAAGTAGGGTGCTTTTGTAGTTTCTGAGATAATTTTAGCTCTGTTAATTCAGGATGAAGACATCAAGAATGCAATTGAAGATGCTGGGTTTGAGGCAGAGGTTATACCTGAGCAGAGGACAAATGGAATAAAGCAACATGGAACTCTGTTGGGTCAGTTCTCAATAGGTGGTATGACATGTGCAGCCTGTGTGAACTCTGTGGAAGGTATTCTGAAAGGGCTTCCTGGGGTCAAAAGAGCCGTAGTAGCCTTGGCTACTTCATTAGGGGAAGTGGAGTATGATCCTACTGTAATTAGCAAAGATGATATAGTCAATGCCATTGAAGATGCTGGTTTTGAAGCATCACTTGTACAGAGTAGTCAGCAGGATAAAATAATACTGGGAGTTGCTGGTGTATTCAGTGAGACAGATGCCCAGACTTTAGAAGCCATAATTAGCAACTTGAAAGGGGTGAGACATTTTCGTTTCGACAGGATTTCAAGAGAACTCGAAATCCTATTTGATCCTGAAGTTGTCACTTCTAGATCCGTGGTTGATGGAATTGAGGGGGCAAGCAATGAGAAATTTAAACTACAAGTGGCCAACCCTTATACAAGAATGACTTCTAAAGATGTCGAAGAAGCCGCAAATATGTTTCGGCTTTTCATTTCCAGTCTGTTTCTCAGTGTGAGTACTTTTTCTTCTCAGCATGCACATGGTTTTTTTCTATTAAAAACGAAAAATAATAATAAAGCACATGGATATGCTATATGTCATATCCTTAACCTTGGTTCTCGTTGTTTCTCTTCCCTTCATTTTTCTTTCTTATCTTTATTTCATATTTCGTGATAGCAGTACAAGATTGAACAAACATGATAATTGAACAGACAATTCCTGTCATAAGAGACAATGCAGCAATGCCCATAATGAGTATATTAATTATAAAGTTCAAATTTTCAATAAAATACATATTTTTTCTTTTATAATTCGTTCAGAATGCATCTAGACACCTATAATTTGGAGCTCTTTTAACCACCGATTCATAATATTTTCATATATTTTTTTTCTCATGATTGTGTTTGTATATGTTACTTTTAAAATTTATTACTGACATCAGTGAATTGTCTCCAGATTCCTGTCTTTCTCATTCGAGTTGTTTGTCCTCACATTCCACTTCTGTATTCATTATTGCTCTGGAGATGTGGGCCCTTTGAAATGGGTGATTGGTTGAAGTGGGCATTGGTGAGTGTTGTTCAATTTGTTGTTGGGAAGCGCTTCTACATTGCAGCTGCCAGAGCTCTACGAAATGGTTCGACTAATATGGATGTTTTGGTTGCATTGGGTACTTCAGCCTCTTATTTCTATTCCGTATGTGCACTTCTATACGGTGCAGTTACTGGGTTCTGGTCTCCAACATACTTTGAAACAAGTGCCATGCTAATAACATTTGTACTGTTGGGGAAGTATCTGGAGTGTCTTGCAAAAGGAAAAACATCAGATGCCATCAAAAAGTTGATAGAACTTGCTCCAGCTACAGCATTGTTGCTTGTCAAAGATAAAGGTACTTTGTTCTGTTCTGTTCATTTTTTTCGTTTTTCTAAACCTTACGAATCAGGATTTCCTTTTTGCATATTTTAATATCTTATATAGTATAGTTATCTTTTTTCTTTGCCAAATTAAAGTTGATGGTGGAATTGAAATATAAACTTCTAGATAACTGGCTGATCTTGGTTATATTGTTTTCTTAGATGGGAGATGTATTGGAGAAAGGGAAATTGACGCCTTGCTAATTCAGCCTGGAGATGTGTTAAAAGTTCTTCCTGGTACAAAAGTTCCTGCTGATGGTATGGTTTTGTGGGGTTCAAGTTATGTCAATGAGAGTATGGTGACTGGTGAAGCTATACCTGTTTCAAAGGAAGTCAATTCATTAGTTATCGGAGGAACGATAAATTTGCACGGTGCCCTTAACGTACAAGTTACAAAAGTTGGATCTGATACAGTTTTAAATCAGATAATAAATTTGGTCGAGACTGCTCAGATGTCCAAAGCTCCTATTCAGAAATTTGCCGATTTTGTAAGTGCCAGAAATGTAGTTTTTCAATTAGTTTGTCTCTGTTCTGTTTCTATGCTATATATGAATATCATGAGTTCTGAGCATTATTCAACTCAGCAGACAGTATTATAGTATCTTAACCCTAAACCCGAAAATGTTGTCACTGCTTTCGTTCCTCAAATTTCGTAATTGTCTACCTAACTTATTGCTTTTGTTGTGGCATACTAGAATTCAAGTTATATTTTAGTGGGTCTAATGAGTACACAATTACAAAAAAATTTCTTTCTGCAAGAACCTTTAGAAGTATATATGGGCTTTATATTGGAATAAGAAAAACTTGATTTTGCATCTAGTCTAGGCTGCCTATATTTGCTTGTTTATAATTGTTGGTTGCACTTAGTGGTATTTTATATCTGGGTTTTTGTTTGACTGTATTTAAGCAGATAATTTTAACTGGATAACACGTTGTTTGGTGCATGCTGTTATGTTAACAAACTTGACTCAGAAGAAAGGCATACTGATCATCAATAAGTCAGTAGCTGTGTTTCAGTGAACATTGTCAAGCTCTCTTGTTATCCTTTGCCCTTCGGTTATGCTTATGTTATGGCAAACAACTCTAGCTTAAAGATGCTCTTAAAATTGGTAGATAAAAAGACAAATAGTACATTTTAACTTCAACTACTTAAAAAAGTTTTATATGGTCAGCTTCATGCTGTTGAGGTTAAAAATTCTGAAGGAAGAGCTAGGCAATTTCAGTGACGTTGAAAAATTTCAAAGTCCCCCTGTATATTTAGCCCCTCCTTATTTCCTCTCAAGCTAATTCAGTAGCAGTTCCCAAATTTATGAACTGCTAACTTCTGTAAAATTTAAAATTAAGTTCATCGAATATCTTACATTTCTTCATGACTGCAGGTTGCTAGCATTTTTGTCCCTACTGTAGTTGCAATGGCATTGTTGACATTATTGGTTTGGTAAGTTCATAGTAGTTATTATCATTTTTTCTCATAATTATTGAATTTGTAAGTTGCTAGAATGCTTATGCCTGCTGTTGATTGCATTATCTTTCATTGATTTGCCGTAGGTACGTTGCTGGAGCCTTTGGAGCCTACCCAGAAAAGTGGCTCCCCAAAAATGGAAATCACTTTGTTTTTGCCCTTATGTTTTCCATATCAGTTGTGGTAATTGCATGTCCTTGTGCACTGGGCTTGGCAACACCAACTGCTGTCATGGTTGCGACAGGGGTTGGGGCTAATAATGGTGTGCTGATAAAAGGAGGAGATGCTTTGGAAAGAGCTCAGAAGGTTAAGTATGTAATATTTGACAAAACGGGTACCCTAACCCAAGGAAAAGCTACAGTTACTACTGTAAAAGTTTTCACAGGAATGGATCGTGGAGAGTTTCTTAAATTGGTAGCTTCTGCAGAGGTAATTCTACTTACTGACTGGCTTCCACATTTTTCTTCCAGTCTTGTTTCTATGTTGCCTTGTCCTTGGATTTCAACTTTGGTGCCGCAACATCTCCAGAGAAACCTCTTGACTAGACCAATTTTTTTTATTTGAAAATTTGTTCAAATTATCTCTCTGAAAAAATGACATCTGTTTTTGTATTCCATTAATTTTTTATTATGCTTGATTAAGTATTAAGTTGCAGAAACATTTGCATGTCCGCTAAATAATTTTAAAATTTCCATGCTGCCCTTTGCATTTTCTCAGGCTAGCAGTGAACACCCACTGGCAAAAGCAATAGTACAATATGCACGCCATTTTCACTTCTTTGATGATCCCTCTGTAACTAACGATGCACCGAACAATAACAAAGAGACTACTACAATCTCTGGATGGCTTTTTGATGTCTCAGAGTTCTCTGCTTTGCCAGGAAGAGGTATCCAGTGCTTTATAGATGGAAAACTTACTCTGGTGAGTTCCAAATTTCCATATGGCTTCCATCCTGATATGCTTCACCTGTCTAAGTTTGCTTATTGGAGGTATTGTATCCTCAACAGGTTGGCAATAGGAAGTTGATGACTGAAAGTGGAATCGATATTCCTACCCATGTAGAGAACTTTGTAGTAGAGCTGGAGGAAAGTGCAAAAACAGGCATACTTGTTGCATATGAAGGCAATTTAATTGGTGTGTTGGGGGTTGCGGACCCACTGAAAAGAGAAGCTGCCATAGTAATAGAGGGACTCCACAAGATGGGTGTCATACCAGTCATGGTTACCGGGGATAATTGGAGGACAGCACAAGCTGTTGCTAAGGAGGTTCGTATATTTCTGTTTATGAATTAGTCAACCTCAATGCTGGTAATCTTGACAGAGAAATGACATGCAACATTGACTTTCATTTTGAGTTAGTTTTTTATTCATTTGGTTTTGGCTTGAATAACGTTTGACCTAATATAAAATTACGGGTCTTCATATAAATTGAAAATTGGAGAATATGTTTTGACAGCATGTATGAATATCTTTTAAAAAAAGTTTTAATAATGATTTGGTAACATCAAGTCGTATATATGGTTTCTGGTCTCTTCTGCTACCTTTAGTGGCACCTTATGGTTCATCCACATACGATAATAGTATAATACGTTTTAGTTGCATACAAAATTGACATTCATATGAAAAAATATTTTGCTGGGCAGGTTGGCATTCAAGATGTGAGGGCAGAGGTAATGCCCGCTGGAAAAGCTGATGTCATCCGATCATTCCAAAAGGATGGAAGTACAGTTGCAATGGTTGGTGATGGAATCAATGACTCTCCTGCTCTAGCTGCTGCTGATATTGGCATGGCAATCGGGGCGGGGACGGATATTGCAATTGAAGCAGCCGACTACGTGTTGATGAGAAATAACCTGGAAGATGTAATCACAGCCATTGATCTTTCAAGAAAGACCTTTTCTCGGATTCGATTGAATTATGTGTTTGCCATGGCGTACAATGTGATCGCAATACCTATTGCTGCAGGGGTTTTCTTTCCGTCATTGGGGATCATGTTGCCGCCATGGGCAGCTGGGGCATGCATGGCTATGTCATCTGTTAGTGTTGTATGCTCTTCTTTGCTCCTTAGGAGATACAGAAAGCCCAGACTTACGGCCATACTGGAAATAGTTGTAGAATAGAAAGAGAAAACAGAAGAGGAAAATTCAAGTTTTCATCTGTGTAGGAAGGAAACTAAAGTAGGATAAGAGTTCGAATGGAACCTTATCCCAATTTTGTTAATTCTGTTTTCTCCTTGTTTTGCTTTTTTTTTTTGGGTCTTTGATGAGGTGAAATTTATCTCCTCATTCCTTGTAAATGTCACTTGTATAATAAATTTTCTCGTTCTTTCGTTTCTCTTTGTTTTGACTTTTATATTAAACGAAAAAGGATTAAATGGGATTGAGAATCATATTATGCACAAGGGAGAACTGGCTCCAGAAATTATTGGTTACACCATGACCTTGTTGGCAACAGATATAAAGATGAGAAAGAATGAAAAAGGAAGCCAGAACACTGAAAAAATTGCACATGTTTGCTCAATTATTTGATGCAAATGGGAGCTCAAATTTCCAAAGTTCTATCGTCTCTATGTCAGTTGGTGGGTATTTATATATCCTTCTTTTTCTATTGATCACCAAGGAAAGTGGCAGGAATATTTTGAACTTTGACCCTCAAGATGGTTAAGGGTTTACACTTTGCACAACACACTGAAACTTTGGTGCTTGGCTGCTTCTTCTAGCAGATTAATCTACAAAATTCCCAGCTCAATGGTGACGCAAAGACCTGGTCAAAACCAAGAAAAAAACAGATGTGGCTGGTCAAAGGAAATCCTTGATCAGCAGCATATGGCTTCGAAAGTATACATAAAAATTATAATTATTTTCTTTAGGTTAATTATTGCTTGAATTCAAATTGTCCATCTTTGAGACTTTGACCAAATTTAATCAACCTTGTCATTATCACCTCCTGGCACATGTACATCTCATTGAGCAGGTGATCATACTTGTATTTCTTTCACACACATCCAATTTTGCAGCATCAGAAAAAAGACAAAGCATACAAAAAAACATTTTAAATGAAACAATGACTGGTACAGTTTCTATCCAGTTTATGTTACAAAATATATACATATATATTTTTTTTTATAAAATACCTTTTCTTCAACTTATCCCATCCTTTTTATATATAGTGGCTCATATCACTGCAGCATAAACACCAGAACAGTGTTTTTGATTCACTTGCTTAGCTTTAATTTATGTTCCTCAAAGACAGATAGCTTCATGAGTTTTCTACCACTAAGCCAAAGCCAAGACCTGTAATTGCTAGTTAGCTGTAACACTTTAGCTTAATGGATTAATTACCTCTTCGCCCAAAAAAAACCCAAAAGAAGAAGCAGAAGAAATGGCCATTGGGATGTCAGATTGTGAAAAAAACTTATGGACAGACACAAATGGTGGCCTCTTTTAACATCTTATGAACAAGAGCGACAATGATGTATTTGTTTTCAACAAAAGAAAAGACATAAGACATATTCAAAGGATCTGGTGTGTAATCTTGTTGGTCAAACAACACATGTCACAAAAAAAAAAAAAAAAACCTTGCTCTTCAAGCCAATCCTAGTGGAATGAGGGCCCACTTGGTGTTCCAGATAATGTATAATTTCCCTAAGTAACTGATTATATTAATCTATGGATGAATATTTTTCAATCTTATCAAGAAAAAGAAAAAGTAATGGCCTATATGAGTGATATTAATTGGATTCCAGAAGCTAATTTATTTTGTGGAGGAAAACTTCAAATGCTTAATCAGCAAGAAAGAAAAAATTAAAAGTGCGTTCACATTGGATTTACCCTTTTGGGAGCATCACCTTCCTTGCTGTTTCAGACAAGAAACAATGTGGGGGAGCTCATGAGAGGGACTTTGCTGGTAAAATATACTTGAAGGTTGCAGCAAATAACCTCGTATAATTTATAGGTGACGTTTGCTTGTAGATCATTGTTTCTCAGCTTTGAGAGTGATTGTATGTTACCATGTTCAATTAATTAATTAATTAATTAATTAGTTAATTGCAAGGACATAATCTCACTTTTTTTTTTAATCAATAGAAAATTTTATTAACCTTTAAAATAAAGGCACAAATAGCCAGTACAGCGTTATGTAACATGAAGGCATAAAGAGTGGCTTCGTTAAAATCTTGCCATTAAAAACCCCCAAGAGGAGAAAAATCTGGTCAAGGAAATTAATTCAGCATATATATATATATATATATATATATATAGGTAGAAAATTACTGCTGACAAGATCAATGGGTTGTATTTATAAACATATCAATATGATGACTTGCAAGAGATGTTGAAATATTAGAGGTGGTCATGGATCTGTTGTTAATTCAAGTCTTAATGGTGAACTTCATCAGTCTCTTTCTTTCAATGAACACATACACACATGCATGCAATCCCCCACAGAATACTTTGAGCATATTAATTAATCTCTCCTTATCTGAAGCTTTAATTAATTTAGAACAAGGATTTGTATGGTGTGGTGTGGGAAGCAGCTAGCATATCAAACTAAGCAAGAAAATACTTCAATTAAATAAATTATTCTTTTTAAACCAGGGTTGGTTTCTTTTTAACAATTTTCTGACCAAGGAAGCATAGACCATCTCAAAAGGCTCCACAGAACAAATTAATGGGAGGGAGTCCCAAAGTGATGTGGATATGGTGACCTCATTGATACTAACAGATGTAACTTCCAGGAAGCCTCTGCATGCTTTGGCCAAAAGCATCCCCCCTCTCTCTCTCTCCTCTCAAACGAAAGGTCAATAGAAGACTTGTCTTCATTTTTGACCAAAAGTTACTATAAATACAGTAGAGATAAATACAGTAGAGATATAAGCTTGCTTATAATTCCCTCACAAAAAGAGTGACATATCACCCACCACCGAAAAAAGCCATGTGAGTAGCAGTATTAGAAACTCTGTTACTATTTCTCTAAAAACTTACTTTCTTAATTATCGGAGGATTTTTGGCCGGTACCAATTTGAAGCTTGCTCATTGTTTTGCTGGGTTTTGGCGACATCTAATCACTCCAAGTAAGTAAAAATCTACTCAATTCCCGTTGTGAGCCGTTTGACTACTGTCGATCCAATTTCAGGCATCAACAAGTAGAACTATGCCTGGTTCTAATGAGTGGGGGCAATACTACCAACAAGCCTTCATGGATAATGGGCAGGCAGCACCCACTAATGGAGGATTTTCAGATGCAACTATTGTCACAACAAGTAGCACTTTAGTGACAGAGAGCAACGGCAGCCCCATCAGTTCACATACAGGAGGAGGAGGCCCGCTAACTCCAACAAGAAGTGTATCCAAACCAATCAGAAGGAGGTCTAGAGTTTCAAAGAAGACACCGATCACTCTCCTCAATGCCAACGCCAACAACTTTCGAGCTTTGGTGCAACAATTCACAGGATGTGCTACTTCTAGCTCACCCATTTCCTTTGGGAACCAAAAGGGTCCTATCAACTTGAGTTTTGGACCCAACAATAATGTGACTAGTTCTGTTATGGCACCTTTTGCCAATCACAACTACAGCTACCAATATCAACAAGAATTGCAGCGGGTGGTGCAGCCGCCGCTGCAAGTGCAACAACACCAACAACAACGACAGCCGCTGCTGCAATTGCAAGAAAATCAACAAGTTCATCAAGTGCAACCGATTGACAATAATATTAGTGGTAGTCATGAATTGTTTCAATATTCATTGGGTGGTGGTGATTATAATCCTATACCCAATCTGGAGACTGTGGATGAATTTGCCATGGATCAAGAAGACATAGCTTTGCATGACTTTTCTATTGATCTCTAGCAAGTTTAGGAATATTATGATGCTCATGTTACTGCATATTGACTAGGAAAGAGAAGAAGAAAAAAAAAAAGAGGTATCCAGATTTTTCTTTAATTGTAATTTCATTAACGTATGATGTGATATTAGAACAATATGAATTTCAGATGCTCATGTGTAATAACTTTTCCACTGTAAATTATTATCGGGTAAAAGAATCTCATATGGCATCTTGTATACACATATTTATATGCCTTTATTATTATTATTATTATTATTATTTATAACTCTTAGTATGTTACATTTCAATATTTACCATCAAATGATCAATACTAGTCCTGAAATCATGAGATCATAATATTAGTACATAATTAGAAAAGGAGAGTTTTGATAGCTAGCCTTGGATGAGTACTATTGACCGGTCTAGAGAGAGTGGAGAGTGAGAGGGCCATTCATCAGAAATATTATCCCTCTTTGGGTTTATCTTTAAGTCGACTCTCACTTGGTTGACCGATGACCGAGAACCTCATCACCTTGCTTTTTGACTTGGTAGTTGGTTTGTATATATTCGTCAATAATATTTTGCTCCACCTTCTAAAAACATAATTAAGTAGCTGCTTAATAAGTTAATAACGTAATTTAGACTCGGAGTATATACAGTTGGCACGAGATAAAATGCTCTATCACTAAAGTTATAAGTCCTCATAGTTTTAACAAGATGCTTTATCTTAGAAATCATTGTTATCAGAGATTTAGAAAATTCAAATAATCATGTAACTATATAATGCTATATTCGAAAAATTGCGAATAACCTGCCCATTATTGGCATCTTGAATTTCGAGTTTGTGTTGTACTCATATGAATTAATTGAATTTGTCTTTATTTCTTCTTTTTGTTGGTTCAAACTTCGAATTTATACGTTTTCGTTATATGCAAGCACCAAGCAACCAACAATACCAATGACAACACAATAGTAAAACTAAAAGAAAAGAAACAGCCTCACAAGGCAACACAAGACGCAAGAAATGAGTGAATAATACTTCTTCTTACATGGGTGGCAAGAGAGTGCATGGGCTCAAACATATACTTTTATACAAATGAGCTACCCCAACATTTCTCCGACTAGTGAGCTAGCTCAAGTGTTTGATTCAAGTCCAATGTTTTAAATCACATGCCAATAAGTTGTCTTTTCCATTTCAAAATCGCTCTCTTGATGTAATTTGTGGTACTTAAATCCCATTATCCCACAATTTATGGAAATTAAAATTCCACAATATCTATGAGATTTATCGACTCCTCTAAATTATTCTAAATTGCATGACATTTAAACTCTGTTAAGTCTTCACAGGATGCCAAGAGGAGAGGGAGAGGAAGGCTGCACGTGAACATCTATAGAAAGTAAATCAAATCTTTTTTCTTTTTGGAAATATTTTTACTCACCACTTTAACTCAAGGTGTATACTCAACACCCTTCTTAATGTTTGACGCGTGTCCATATGCATAATTATAGTTAATTTTTTACTTTGATTTATGTAACCATAATTATGTTTATAGACATATGTTAAATGTTGAGAAGGGTGATGGTGAGAAAAATGCTCCCTTTCTTTTTTAGGTCAATGAAAAGAAATTAAATCACATATTGGGATTGAGAATCCGTTGACTGATTTATCATTTATGTGGTTTAGGTTTTTTATTCAAGTCCAACTTATAAGGTTGACTTTTCCATTGCAAAATTTTCCTGACGTAATATAGGGCACTAAAATCCCCCAAATTCCACAACCTATGGAATTTGATTGATTGAAACGAAATGAATTTCAGATTTGATTGAGAATTAGAGTAGATATGACGCCCTCATTTTTGACCAGCCAAAGACTGCAGACCAAAATCGTGATATTAATTATATGTGAAATATCTAACACGTGAGCTAGCCCAACATTTCTCAAATGTTTGATTTAAGTCCAATTTCAAGATGCCATATATATATATGCATCCCTCTTCTGTTGAGGGATTCTTCAAATAATTTTAATTGAGGGATACCCCGTAGGGTTCTCTAAGATTTTTTTTTTCAATGATCCAAACCATCTATTTTTTAAGTCTACATTCATAGATCATCCTTTCAAAAAATTAGACAAATCGGAAATTATTTCGACATCCAATTAGTTGACGCAACTAGTTGAGGGACAACTTTCCTCTACCGAGGATTGACCAACTAGTTGACTCAATGACCGGTCATGAATTGCTCAGTTTCATGGGCGCATACTTTGGCTACAATCAGATATTCATGCACCCTGTTAATTGTGAGCACATAGCTTTCATCACCGATAAAGATCTATATTGTTACAACGTCATGCCATTCGGCTTGAAGTATGCATGTGCTGCTTATCAATGGTTGGTCAACTAGAAATTTGCCAAACATTTTGGTAATACCACGGAGGTTTTCGTGGATGACATGTTGGTTAAAAGCACAACTGCCGAACGACACCTTCACAACCTCTCCCTCGTGTTCGACATATTGAAGAAGTATCAAATGCGATTGAATCAACGAAGTGCGCTTTCGACATGTCTTCAGGAAAATTCCTCGGCTTCATGATCAGTTAGTGCGGTATTAAAGCCAATCCTGATAAAATCAAGACTCTCATCAACATGCAGGTGACGAAAACTTAGAAGGACATTCAAGTCTTACCCGTTGCGTTGCAGCCTTAACAAGGCTCACTTTTAAGGCTACCAATCGGTGTGCTCCATTCTTCAAAGCTCTCAAAGGCAACAAACGACACATCATATAGACTGCCGAATGTGATATAGCTTTCTAGAATCTGAAGGATTATATGAGCAAAGCACCACTGTTGACCAAGCCCCTTGTTCGGTTCATTTTTACACATGATTTTTCATGTTATTCACCCACTATTTTGAGTTAGTTCTTGACATTTTATAGCTTTTTACTTCCTTTTTGTGTTTTCTTAGATTTTACCTTGGTTGGAATGAAAATGAGCTAAAAGTGCATTATTGGTTATAAACTTTGTTTTTGTTCATTTTCGTAGGTCAACTTCTTGGCCTGGGATCAGCATGCTCTGGTGCTCGGATGAGGTCACGATCTTCATGAGACTTGTTCCAATGGATGTTAACTACAACATATCCAAATTTGAGCTCCATTGGACAAGTATTGCCTATCCAACCAATCCAGCATGTTACCACAGCTCTGAAATCCGAATTTGGCCAGCTTTTACCTCCTTTGTGTTATCTTGATTTTCTTGTTACCATAACTCTTGGTAACAAGAAGTTACCTTAGCTTTGAGATAATTTCTGAAGCAATTGGCATCTTTGTGAGGACAAAGCTTCATGATGGCAAGGGGACAATGGGCTAAGGCTTTATCAAAGGTGGTAGTTTAATATTAAAAGGTAAAAGCTGGAAAGGAGGAGAGAGGGAAGCAAAGGAATTGCAATCTGAAGTGGGGGAGCCTTTTGAACGGGGGGAAGGAAGTCATTGAGGATTTTGCACAAGAAGAGAGCAGATTTTGGAGAGCTTGGAGCTTGGAGAAGGCCAAGGTGCAGCCAAGCTAAGTGGAGAAGAAAGCTTCCACCATTGATGACCTTGAAGCTTTCATCATTTTCTCAAAATCTGTAAACTCTTTCTAATTTTATTTTGAGTTTGTATTTGGAATAAGTATGAGCAACTAAACTCCATAGCTAGGGCTTAGGATGAAGCCCTAAACATGATTACCTTATTGTTTTGATGCTTGAGTGTATGAATTTCTAGATATTGTTGATGAATTCCAATTCACCAAATTAATCTATCCTTGATGTGTGTTTTCCTTGATTGATTACCTTTGAAAGCATGCTTCTTGAGGTTGTTGGGATTATGTGTATCATCATGTTTTCCTAAGCAATAGATGGATGGAGTAAGAACCATCCATGTGAATTGGTTTCTTGAATACCTAATGTAAACACCATGCTATTAGGATTCTTGTGATGTTCATATTCTCTTTGAACTTAATAGGTTCTCCTTGTAATTGAATCGAAGTACGAACCATACCTAGGTTCGGTTACAAGGAGAGCACAAGTATTGTAGCACGAACCATGCACTTTACATACATTAGAGAGAATCAATGCGTCTTGAGCCACGACCCATGATCTTGATTGCGAACATCTTCATCAACACGTTTAGAGTTCATCACGTGAGTATTCATGAACTTGGGTAGAATTGTTTAGGGTGGATTCCGAAACCCTAGGGTTTGTTACATTTTAATTTCACATTTTGATAATTCATCTATGCCATTCACATTTAAATTCAAAGTCCATTTACTTTCATGCAATAGAAACAGGTCACTTGAACCAAATCAAAAAACCCCCCCCAATGTGTGTGTGAGTTGCGTGTTTGACACATTACGTGTCTTTGTTACTCAAAGGAATTGCAATCTGAAGTGGGGGAGCCTTTTGAACGGGGGGAAGGAAGTCATTGAGGATTTTGCACAAGAAGAGAGCAGATTTTGGAGAGCTTGGAGCTTGGAGAAGGCCAAGGTGCAGCCAAGCTAAGTGGAGAAGAAAGCTTCCACCATTGATGACCTTGAAGCTTTCACAATTTTCTCAAAATCTGTAAACTCTTTCTAATTTGATTTTGAGTTTGTATTTGGAATAAGTATGAGCAACTAAACTCCATAGCTAGGGCTTAGGTTGAAGCCCTAAACATGAATACCTTATTGTTTTGATGCTTTGAGTGTATGAATTTCTAGATGTTGTTGATGAACCCCATTCACTAATTGAATTTTATGATATGTGTTTGCTTCCTTTGCTTAATCACCTTAGGTTGTATGCATGTAGCTAAAGTTGAGAAGTTGTGTAAGATAACCAAGAACACAATTTCTAATTAGCAACAAATGATTGAACTTGTTTAAGTGAGCATCATGTGAATTGGTTTCTTGACAACAATTGATGAATTCCAATTCACCAAATTAATCTATCCTTGATGAGTGTTCTTCTTTGATTGATCATCTTTGAAAGCATGCTTCTTGAGATTGTTGGGATTATGTGTATCTTCATGTTATCCTAAGCAATAAATGGATGAAGTAAGAATCATCCATGTGAATTGGTTTCTTGAATACCTAATGTAAACACCATGCTATTAGGGTTCTTGTGATGTTCATATTCTCTTTGAACTTAATGGGTTTTCCTTGCAATCGAATCAAAGTACGAACCATACCTAGGTTCGGTTATGAAGAGGGCACAAGTATTGTAGCACGAACCATGCACCTTACGTATATTAGAGAGAATCAATGCGTCTTGAGCCACGAACCATGGTCTTGATTGCGAACATCTTCATCAACAAGTTTAGAGTTCATCACTTGAGTATCCATGAACATTGGTAGAATTGTTTAGGGTGGATTCCGAAACCCTAGTGTTTGTTACATTTTAAGTTCACAATTTGATAATTCATCTCTGCTATTCACATTTAAATTCAAAGTCCATTTACTTTCATGCAATAGAAATAGGTCACTTCAAACAAATCAAAACCCCCCCCCCAAATGTGTGTGTGAGTTGCGTGTTTGACACGTTTTGTGTCTTTGTCACTGAATTTTGTTTGATTCCGTAATTGTTTTGGACTTTTGGTCCGCGCTGTGTTCTTCCATTTTCTGTGCTGA